AGGAATTTCCTGTAAATATAAAGAGAGGGTATCTTATATAAAAAAAAAGTAATAAGTTGGAGGGGATTCTCTGTGAACAGAGACACATTTGTGTTCCCATAATGAATGAGTTCCCTTGCTTGTACTATGAAGTAATTTACCCATCCCTGACAACCACAATTACTGGTATAACAGTTATTTAATCTGTTATACCAGAGGCAAAGGCAGAAAATATCTTTAAGCATTACCTTTGGGCCAGCTTGGATGAAGACTCAAGATCCTACCACTTAAACCCTTGAACAAGAATTAAATTTGTCTGAGCCTCAGTTCCTTCATCTATAAAAATAGGGTTAATGCCTTCAAGGGATACATAATGGCTAAATAAGATAAAATGTGTAAAAGCACTATAAAAGTAGGGGAGGCAAGCAGGAATGAATATTTGAGCACCAATTATGTAATGCTTTCAAATGTTTCCCCGTAAACTAAGTGCAATCTTGTGAGGTGCAGTTGGCTAATTTTTTTTTTTTTTTAAGATTTATTTATACAAGCACTGGGTACAGTCAGAAGCACGGGAGGGTGAGAGAACTCACCAGAGCCAGAGTGGGGAACAGAACAGGGAGACCGACGAAGTACAACGCTGAGGGGAGCAGCGAGCACTGCAGGAGACGTCTGCGCGCCATGTGGGACCCTCCCCAGCGACCGGGAATCGAACCAGTGCTGCAGAGGCTGAGAGCAGCCTTGCAGCCCAGCGCTCAACCGCCACCGGGGAGTCCCTAGCTAATTTTTATGTTGGGATTATTTCAAGTGAAAAGTGTGTATTTTTAAATTATCTAGAAATCCTGGTTTCTTTTTTTATGCAGCAGCCATCTATAGCTCTCAAAACTAAGAACTTTCAAATTATACTGAGATTTGACAAGTGTTTCAATTTCATTTAGCTGTGCATTTTCTTGGTCCCTCTTACATAGAGAAAATTTCATATATTTTTAAAACTATTTCTAACTTTCAACATTTCTTAACACATGACTACTAGGGTTGCATCAATAACCCTCCCCTTCACCCCCCCCCTTTTTCTGGCTAATCTTTTTCTCCAGCAGATCTACAGGATGCTTTAACAGACACTTTTCTTTTTTACCAGGGCTTTCTATTTTATGGAAATCACACCTGCCTAAGGATTTAATGGGGTATTTGAATAAAAATGTATTCATTCATTACCACATGTTCTTCTCTGAATTGGATATTTTCACCTTAATCGTATTGAGCTAATCAAGTCCTAATGATGTTGCATTAAATTTCATCTCAGAAGGTGTAATTTTCCAATTGAATCTAAACAATTGCATGACCTTTATAGTGACTTTCATAAATATAGCATTGCTTCACTTACTCCAGCAAGGGGATGGACGGAAAGAATAACCATTTCACTTGGACAATGGCTTCTGTGTGTTGTCAGGCTCTCATTTCTCCTCGTCTTTTCTAGCCTTTTTCCATGAATACAATGTCTTTTTAACATCCCTCTCAGGGCAGCACAGAAGGCCCCATCCATCTCAAGACGTCGTGGCTGCACAGCAGCCGAGCATCTCATTATGGCAAAGTGAGGCATTCTGGGAGAGTGGATGGAGTCTGCGGAAGGCAGTAAGAAATGGGGGAGGGAAGGGGAGGGCAGGAGCTGTGGAAAATATATGCTCACTTCCTTCGTGGTGATAACACGTTGTGGAAGTAAAAACCTCCTGTTTTAGAAATAAAGAAGGTATAGGAGGTCAAAAACCTGTGACTAAGTAGATTCCAGCCCCTGCATGCTGGTCATACCCACCTCAGCTACCACATACCCCCCAACACTCACACCTTAACCCCCAGTGGAAGCTACCACAGGAGTCACTTTGGTGAAAGAAAGCAATAGATCACAGCACTGAAGGGAAAAAAAAAACAAACAAACAATGATTCCACAATAGAAACAGAAAAGAATTTGGACACACACTCACACACACACACACACACACACACACACAAATCACTGACTCACCAAATTGAAAGAATATTTTCTTCCAACTAACCTGAATGCTTATAGTTTACTTTGTTGCACCACCTTAGCCAAAATAGATTGAAGCATGTGCCCTCGACATTTCCAGAGTCACAAGCTCCTTTAAGAGTCACTGAGCCATCATCCTTTCAGTCACCAATAATGACTCTCCCTCAAAGGCCTGAAACCTACCAATCTCACCCCATCACGCCCTACATTAACAATTCCCAGATTAGGATTCATTTTTAATTTACAATCTAGTATTTTGAGTTTAAAAATCCAGGCACTTTAAGGAATAATCAGTGGCTATCAGTAATTTTGTTACTGAGAGATTAGTTCCCCTTTGTTAGTTTTCCTCCTGAGTCTGACTGACATCCGAGCCTGCATTCAGATAATAGGAATTTTGTTAGCAAACCAGTGGTTCAGGCTGTAGAGCAATGGGAAAGCAGGACAGGCTCCACTGGATCATGGAAGCATTTTCAAGTCTGTGTAGAGGTATTGGACATAGAAAAATTCAGGGGTAGTTTTGCTCACCCCCCAGATCCAGACTGGATTGCTGTCTAAACTGCTTTTTTCAGCCACATAGACAACACCTAACCTGCCCACAGCCTCCTTTCCTTTCTCTTTCATTGTTTCACCCCCTCAGCCCCTGGCCCCAGGTCCTGATCAGCTCCCATGGCGCTCCAAGCCTCCCAGTCACTCTGCCCTCTCCCACGGTGCCTGGTCAGTTCATCCTGAAAGCCCTACCTTAAGGTCATAACTGCTTCCCTTTTATTCGTCATCCCTCCATCTCATCATCATTTTTTCTGGTTTCAAAGCTCTATGGCCAACTCCTCAGTCTGTTCTAAGCCTCCATTCAAGTATTATATAGTTTAACTTTGAGGACATAAATATTGGCAAACACTTAAATACTACGCAGTTGGCACCAGGTACTGTTCTAATGCTCAAATTCATTCATTTAATCGTCCCAACAATCCCAAGTGGTAGAAACTTTGGTTAAACCTATTTTATAGGAGGGCCTCCCCTCGTGGCACAGCGGTTAAGCGCTGGGTTGCAAAGCTGCCCGCAGCCTCTGCAGTGCCGGTTCTGAGAGTCACACATGGCGCGCAGACCTCTCCTGCCACCCGCTGCTCCCCTCAGCAGTGTACTTCTGTCCTTCTGCCTGCTCTGCTCTCCCCTCTGGCTCTGGTGAATTCTCTCACCCTCCCGTGCTTCTGACTGTACCCAGTGCTTGTATAAATAAATAAATCTTAAAAAAAAAAAACTATTTTATAGGCGCACAGATAGGTAAGGTAATGCCCAAAGACACAGCTAGTCAGTGGAAGACCTGGGAGAATTATATCCAGGCTTCAGAAGATCTGTATTTTTAATTATTAAGCTATATTATTTCTTTATATAGCATTTTATTTATTTTATTTAATTTTATTTTATATATTTTTACATCATTTTTCATTTTTGCACAATGTATGCATTTTCATCTTGGTTATATTCCCATGTAATTCCCACCCCCCTTATTTTGACCCTAATCCTTCTTTCCTTCTCCCCTCCTTCCCCCCCTCCCAGTGTGCTCTGGCTTATAGTTGCTTGTTGATTTTGATTTTTACTTTATTATAATTAGTCTTTTTCTTGGCCCCTTATTTAGGTTTTCTAAATTCCTGCTATGAGTGAGACCATCCGGTATTTTTCTTTTTCTTTCTTACTTATTTCACTGAGGATGATCCCTTCAGCTCCATCCATATTGCTGCAAATAACATGAGTTTATCTTTTTTGAATGCTGAGTAATATTCCATTGTGTATATGTACCACATCTTCTTGATCCAGTCATCTATTTTTGGGCATTTGGGTTGTTTCATAGCTTAGCTGTTGTAAATAGTGCTGCTTATATAGCATTTTGAAGAGGGCTGCTTACCCTCCCTTCACCCCCAACAGACACCCCAAGTCTTTTAATGTGGACACTGTACTGGGTTTTTCAGCACCACTAGGTACAGATCTAGGAGACCCAGGGAAATGTGTTGTGTCCTCTCCGCTCATCATTAGTGGCACCATCAACAGTCTCCCCAGTTGCCAGCTATGGAACTTTATGTTCTTGCTTCTGAAACAGATGGGCACAAGACGACATGTGGGGTGTGTAGAGAGACCCTAAGTAGCAGAGTGTTGGGCATTAAAGGATCACACTGCTCACGGGTCAGAACTGGGCCACTTGCCCCTCCTCCCACCCAATTGGTGACTGTCTCTCCCTTTTCCCAGTTCCCCTTGCTAGTACCCAAGGCTCCCCCATGGTGGCATCTGGTGAATGGGCCTCCTGCACAGACTGTTCCCATTTTCAACGTGAGGCCATCCTTACTGAGTGAAGGCCAACCTCACTAAGACTGAGGATGATTAAAATGAAATTAATCATTTTCCTTGAGGAAAATCACAGAGGAGTTGCCTGAAGATTTGGAGGGAACAGAGAGGTGCCGAGAAGATTTTACTTAACAATCTTGGGGAGGGCGGCCTCCCTCGTGGTGCAAGGGGTTAAGTACCGCACCGTGAAGCTGTGTGATCCTCTGCAGCACGAGTTCGATCCCCAGCCAGGGAGCTACCCACATGGCGAGGCAGACCTCTCCTGCCTCACCCGCTGCTCCCCTCAGCAGTGTATTTCAGTCAGTCTGCCTGTTCTGTTCCCCACTCTGTCTCTGGTGAATCCTCTCACCCCCCCCCACCTCTGGTCTATATCCTGGCTCTTGCATGCATAAATAAATAAATCTTTTTAAAAAAAAAAAACTATCTTGGGGAGGGTTCAGTGCCAGTTGTGTGTATAGGAGCCTCGTGCCATTTTAGTGTCATGAAATGGAGATAATTCTGTCTTCCTTGAGTTAACTCTCCTGCTGTTGGAGTCAAACCCCCTCCCTCTCTCATGCCCCATCCAGCCCATAGGCAAAGCACAGGCCCCAAGGCCACCAGCCTAATTCATTCATACACCCTAGAGACACGTGTACCAGGACCGATTCGGATGATCACAACTCACCTGTCCAAGGTCGCATTCCCTCAGATCCTCGTGAATGACCGACTTGCTGTTCTGGGATATACTTTCAGGGCGAAGTACAGATGAGTTAACATGGTACCACCAACAAAGATATTTACATTAAAAAAGACTCCTAACAAAAGACTCACCACCAATAGCTAACATCCGTCCCCTGCCAGCCCGCCACCCTGAACATTCTCCATATATAGCTCCTCCTCAGACTTTCCAACTTGACATAAAGCTCACCTCCATTAAGCCTTCCTTGACTGAGGCTGCCCACGTTCATGTCTTTTTCCACTTAACACCTACAGCACTAGAACAGAATTTGGCAGGAGGAAACAGAACCAGAACAAAAGGGAATAGAACGTTGGGCTGAACTATCTCAGAGGTGAGCTCAGCACATTCCCTCTTTCACAGGTGAGGAAACAAAGACCCAGAAGTGACCAGTCTACAGCCAGTCAACGACTGCTGAAGGGCATCTGGAAGTATGTTTCATGTCCAGCCCTCCCCTCATTTGCCAGGACTGCTCCCTCTTCATTTGGGGAAATGCCCATCACACCATTCATCAAACAAAACTTTGATGGGATTGTCAATCTTTTTGCCTCTTCCAGTGACTATGTGATCTCAGCTGGGACCATTAGCATTCATCCATGGAATTTAAATATTAGAGTCAGAATTAAGAAGTAACAGTTTTGTCTGTTGACTGATAAGCTGCCAGCAACCATGTCTCCCAACTCATAGAAAAAGCCTGTCCAAGAGAAATAAATAAAATAAACACACATTTGCTTGCTCATTCATTTATTCATGAAATAACCATTATTTATCAAGAGCTCTTGATGTGCCAGACCACTGGGCTAGAGGAATAACATGCTGAGAAAAAACAAATGCAATTGCTGTCCTCATGGGGCTTATGAGACATTCTTTAAGTAAGCGTGCAAGCAAAGAAAAACTGCTGTCTTTCCTAGTAGTGAGGAGAAAAGGTACACAGTTTTCTGAGAGCTTCCAAGAGGGGAACCTGGCTCAGCTGCTATGTACGCTCACAGTTTGTGCACTGTTCACTGAAGCACAGTGGAGGGGCAAATAAATGGAGAGAAAATCTGCTTACATGGTTCACAAAGCAGATGAAACCTAATGGGAGCTATGTGTGCCCAGAGGGAGGGGTACCTTGTTCTTCACACGCTGGTACTGTCCACCCCAAAGGGCAACCTTTGTCTTTTTAAAATTTTTATGCGGTAACAATGGATTTTAACATAATACAGGTTTCAAGTGTACACTGTCACAAATCAACATCTGTATATAGTATATTTACTACAAAAGTCCTATACCACACAATTGAAGGATACCTATTTCTAATTTGCCCTGTAGGCTTAAACAGATGAGCCCCAACTCCATGTACAATCCAGTCGGAAAGATGAGTGGCAGGAGGGGAGGCTCCCTTGATGAGGTGGCTGGAGATGCATGAATAGTGAGTAGTAAATAAACTGAGAAGGAAAAACTTCCAGACACAGGAACAACCACACGGTGGTCTTGTGTTGATAGCTATCTAGTGCCTGCTTCTAGTCACTTCTTTGATCCAGCTAATCCCTTATCTCAGGGGATAGGTTGCATTCCCTCTTTGTAGTTCAAGTCACATGCTCTCATTTGTGTCTAGGAGAGTGCGAGCTCCTATAGCAAACCTGATCCAGCTCTCCTTCCTCTAGGTTCTGGGGGCCCTCCCTCCCTGACAGGCACCATGCTTCCATGTTAGAAAGCTCCATTCTATACTTGCTCCCCTCACAGGCAGGTGAGGACAGCATCCAGGCCCCAGGTCTCATAGGTGACAGGAGTGGGATGGGATAGGAAGTGTCCTTACTGTCCTGGGAGTCCACCATGGGAAAAAGATGTTGGACAGGGATCCTTGAGGTTGAAGCCTCTTTAGCAGAGGGAGAGAATAAACATCACAAGAGAATAACAGCTCCTGGCATAACATATGAAAGAGGTGGGATAAGCAAGCAGTTGGAGCAAAAAGCTGTATCACAGAGAAGGGAAGAGGAGTTCTTGATGTCTATTGTCTGAGCGCTAGAGAAATCCAAGCACTCACACTGAGAGATACCTCAGAGTGTGGTATGGAAGGAGGGACAGCATCCAAGTGTAAGTGAAGTGAGTGTGACTTGCAATGAAGCCAATAGTAGGTATGTTTTTGAGGCTAGTGTGGGGCATCAGAAGTCAACACTACTGGGACCAAAAGACATGAGGTTGGGACATGTATCTACTGACTCCTGCCTCGAAAATGGATCTCTGAGAGTTATTGCTCCTATAGCTCCAGGGAAACTGACCAAGCCCCCTCTGCTTCTGAAAAAATGTGGAGGCGGCTAAGTGGAGACATGTGGTATATTCTTGAGAGGTATAGAAATCAGACATGGACAAGGGAATGTGAATGCAGTTAGCTCACTCTGTATCGATCACTCCAACCCCACCTATTTTCTGTCTTTCATGAATCTTTCCATATTATTCCCAGGAAGATGCAAAATCTTTATCTGCTGTTAGTACCATTTCTTGTCTTCCCAAGCTGTTATGAATTTACTTTTTCAAATGTTTTCTCTGTCTTGTCAATAAGACTTTCGGCAGGAGGCAGGTAGATAGGTATTTAATCTGTCATCTCAATTCAATTGCAGAAGTATGATTTCAATTCTAGGAATGACTTCTAACAGTGACCTTGAGAAAGCCATGATGTTAAAAAGGATTCTGACCCAGAAGCCAGGAGACCCACATTCTATACGTAGGGCTGTGCCTCACTAGCTGTGTGATTTCAGTCATGGCATTCATCTCCCCAGTTTTCTCTCTTTTCATCTGGAAAATGAGAGGGTTGACAAGATTAGGAGCTGTCAACCTGGAGTCACAACACACCCAAAAGCCAGACATAATAATGGCTTGAGTGTGATAGAAATGGAATGCTCTCACACGGACACATCGGCAGTCCACGGTTCCCAAGACAGGACCAGCATCTTTAGGGACCTGGGCTCCTACTTGGTTCTTTCCTCTGTCACCCTCAGCACATGCTTTCTCCATCCTAGTGTAAGATGGTTGTTTTAGCTCTCATTTCCACATTCCCTTCACAAAAAAGAGAAAAGGGCCTAGCCCTATATGGACACTACCTGGAAGTAAACCATATGACTTCCTCTTAAATCCTATTGTCAAAAACTTAGTTCCATGATCATTCCCAGAGATTGGGAGATGTTGTTGTTTTTTTCTGGTCATCCAAGTGCCCAGCAAAAATATGGGGGTTCTTGGAGGAAAAGAAATACCAGGAGACACCTACCAGTCTCTGCCACAAAGGTGTGTCTTGATTGTGATTGTATCACCAGAAAATCTATTACTAATAACATACTCAAGATTACTAATGAGGTTTTTAAACAAAAAAAAAAAACTTGACTGGATTCAAAGTCATCCCTGTGTTAACATTTATTCTCACCCTCTTGTATACTGATAAGTTTGAGAGTTGGTGTTACATTCAACAGTGGGGACTTGAATAGAGGACACTGGCAATCTTATCAATGCCTCTGTCTGCCATGAATGACTACTGCTGATAGCTGTAGCATTTTTTTCTTTGTCCTCAGCATTTATGATTTTTGTCAAATTTGAATACATTAATGAGAACATATCGTGCATTTATCTTAATGACAATCATCTTGACTCTCGTGAAGAGAAATAGGTGAAGAAGACTTACACGAAATGAGCTCTAACGTGTTTATCAGCTCAAAAACATCTGCGATTCCAGGCATAGAAATTCTCTTTAGCATCAACCATTTGTAGTAAAATCACCTGGGAAGATTGTTAACAGTACAGCTTCCTAGGCTGGCTTCAATACAATAAAAATCTGGGGCTGGGGATAGAACTATGTCAATTACTCATATTTTCCAGGTGAATCTTAGGAACATAAAGATTAGGAGCACTTCCAGGTCTCCAAAGAGACCTTTGCCAACACTACCTGTTGGCACTAACTAACTCAGCTATGTCCAGCTGCCAGGCAGAAGCACGTAGAGCAGGAGGCACAAGGTGGTGTAGGCAACTTGCTCTACTCAGACAGTCTTATGAACTTTCCAAACTCATTCTTACAACTGTGTGATGTTGACTTGCTACAGTCTCCAGCATCACCCACTCTGCTCTTCTTTGCACCTTGGAAATTCCAGGGAAAATTACGTGTAACTCTTGGAAAGGGTAAATATGTTGAAAAACCTGGTTTACTATCCCCCCATCTGTTTTTATTGTCAAGGTTTCATGAAGCATAATATATGAGGTGATAGTCTGTAGACTCTAAGAGGTTTTTTTGGCTTCTGTACATATAGTATACTGTCTTTACTAATAATCTGTGCTTCCACTTGCCTTTATCTCAAAATTTCAAATTTTATATTAATATATTGATAAATATTATTATTAAATTAATAATTTGTTGATATAGTGATTAAATTATAAAATTATTATATAATAATCATTAAATTATTATATAATATATTAATATATTAATTAAATGAATATATTATTTCCCTCGCAGGAGAAGAACTTAAACTGCTGATGCTGCGTGGTCCACAGCTGTAAGGGAAAAGAAGCCAACAGCTATTTTGTGCTCAAAGTTCACTATGTGCTTCTAAGATACACGAGCTCCTTTAGCTCTTGTAACAGTCCTGTGAGATAGAGATATCTCACTTTATTCTCATTTTCCTGAGTTGGTAAGAGGCTTGCTTACCTCACCCAGAAAGTAAGGAAGTGAAAAGGCAAAATGACCTTCCAGAGAAATTGTGGTCCTTGAGGCAGTAGGATTCCATCACAGCATCATCTTCAATGTTTTTAAATAATTTTTTATTAAAGTAATACTGCATTATAGCATTATATAAATTTCAGCATTCCATCAGTAAAACCTTCTGAATGCATCTCCCACCTGTATGGGTTTAGTTATAAATATAGACATTAGAAGCCAGTTTACTCTTTAAACTTTAGTGGGTATCAGAATCACCCAGAGAGCTTACTCAAGCACAGTTCCTCAGTCCCCAACCCTAGAGTATCAGAATTTAAGTAGGTTTTGCATTTCTGGGCCTCCCTGGTGGTGCAGGGGTTAAAGACTCAGTGCTATCAAGCTACCTCCAGCCACTTTGGCCTGGGTTTGATCCCCAGCCAGGGAGCTGACCCACATGGCTCAGCAGACCTCTCCTGTCTTGCCCGCCACTCCGCTCAGCAGTATAATTTCAGTAGATCCACCTGTTCTGCTCCCCACTATGTCTCTGGTAAATCCTCTCACCCCCGCTCACCCCCACACCCCTGGCTTGCACCCCAGTTCTTGTATGCATGATGTATAAACAAATAAAAAAAAACTTTTTAAAAAAAGAA